ACCTTCAAATTTGTGCGTTGTGTAATGATCATTCCAGTTCATAAGGTAAGAAGCAACTTGAACTCCAGATAGCTCCTGTTGAGAAGCAAGGGTGTGGTAACAGCGTGAAACGAGTTTGCGTGACTTCTCAATTGCATTTTCCGTGTCTGTCTGATTCGATGAAGTCTTGAGTGATGTAATGCTTTTCTGTACAAGAGCAAATGTATCATGAAAAGACAGGCTCATTTTTGTTACATAATCAGTAATATAATAAACAAGAGCCTTTGCATCGCTGCCACTCCAAATAAACTTAATATCCATGTTCGAACGGCAAGCTGTGATGAGATATTCATTAAAATTGCTGATCCATGGATCGGATCGTCGCATAGAAATATGACCAGTATCAGGATCGATTGTCGAGGCAGGTATCACTGTGTTTGTGAATGTTGTTTGCTTCAACGAGTTCCACTACATCTGCATGAAATCGTGCTGCAAAATCAGGCGATGATGGATTAGGAGTAGGCAAGCAATCTGGAATTCATTCTGATGCATTATGTGAAGCATTTGTAACTAAAACATGATTCCTATTTTGTCAGTTTTCAGGGCAACTATTTCTTACCAGATTTCAATCGATCATGCGTTAGTGTTCGTAACAATTTATTTGCCGATGGAGAAGCATGAAAAATTGATGAAGAAGATAATTCTTTCATCGGTGCTGATAGAATACCGGATTCATATGTATTTTATTTAAAGTCTGATAGACCCATGGTACTTATGACCGCATGTATATTATCTCGTGTTAATCGCGATGGAGTGCTCCATGTATTTGCCACTATAGTATAGAGCAAAATATTACATTTAGATAAAAAGAAAACTCACTATACCGTCGAAATTCTCAAATACATATTCGTCTTTAAATTGGTCTAAATCTTCTTTGATAATGTCTTCTAAATATGCTTTTAATTTTTCACGAAAGTCAGTATTCCGAATGTTTTTTTTCATATCAACTGGCTTCATGTCATGATCCAGCCAAATGAGGAGATGGAGATGGAGAGAACCTCGTCCCTGATTTTCAACAGTACCGAAATAATCTTTTATTGGCTCAAGAACACCACCAACAATCATAGTATCTAAGATATTTGTAATTAATAAATGAAAACATTTGGCAGTAGCTACAGGGTGAGAAGCTATAGTTTCAGCTCTTTTGTATGTAGTCATAAGCTGCTCTAATATTGTCCAGATCAAGGTTGACACCTGCAAAATATAGTGCCACGGGACTATGAATATCGGCTGGATATAGAGTTAGAAAAATACTGTGGAGACCTTGATTAAAAATTAGTGCATGAATACGAGTACGCAAGGCCGCACGTGAATATGCTGAGCTCATGACTCTACCGCCGATAGTTTTGATGTGGTTCAGTAATTTCTTTAACACACTATTTGGTTCTGAACTGTACGTTCTTGTGGAAATGTGATCAAGGGCTATTTCAATATCTTTACTGTTCAAAGACTGGATTTCATGAGCAGTGACTCGAAAATAAGGCTTCGTCGCTATTAAGTGAGCATGAAAACAAGCATCGCATCGTTGTAATAGATTAAAAACCACAAATATAAAGCTGTGATTCCTTTCAAAACGTCGATCATTGTAGGACAATAGGCAACGTATGTGTTCACGTAAGTTTATTTCAACTGGACGTGATTGATCTTCAGGTGATTCATGCCCGTAACAAAACAGAGTTGGATAGAGACCTGCTAGTAATTTTGGATTGAAGTATTCGTTAACAGGTTTCGAAGAATGAGGAATTAAGTAAACATTTTCGCTATCCGTTTCGTCCTTTCTTCCATCATTTTTAATTTTACGTAAAACATAATTAGTAATTTCATCTGAAGACACCGTTGATCCATTCACGTCGAGAACACCACTAGAGAGAAAAGTATTAATCGAATAGCTTAGTTGGTGGTAGATCTCACCTGTTGTTAATAGGGATTGTGTCAGAAGATGCAGATTCCATCGGATCAGCTAGTGGATCTGGAATATAACCAACTCGCTCAGAAGGAATTTCTTCATCGCCTATCCTCTCCTCCATAGCTGAGATGAGGAACTCTGGTACGTCATCTTCAGGTAGTTGAGCGATATTTTCCAAGTTTATGTCAACGCTTTGATAAAGCAAATTATGTTTCTTGAGCCAATATAAGGCTTGTATAATTTTTTTCTTGCGTACGGTTAGGATTTTTTTAAGTTGAATGCGTTCGGGAGGACGAGTTCCGACAAAAATCACCTTAGGCGTTTCACAAAGACCGTGAAGTCGAAGTGGCAAACTATTAACGATGTTTGGTATCTTTTGAAGAAAAGTAATGCAATGTCCCTTTAATGCTGACTGAGCAGTTGTAGTAGAATGAAAAGGGAAGTGAAGTTTTATCACACAGCTATTGTGACGATAAAGAGATATTAGCTTTTCTTCAGGAATTGTAAGTCCTTGCAATTCAGGAGGCACATCACCTAACCACATATTATTGGCGGGCGAAAACTTCGGAATGTGTTTCTTCGACAAAGAATCGTAACATTTTTGGCAGACTGTGCACATGCTCACCCTGTTTTGTTGAGACAAACCATTTGCATATAAGATAATCCTATTCTTCTGTATTAACAAATATATCAAAATAATTTAGCGACAGAATAAAACTCATCAAGTCTTATACTGTACGAGTATTTGCTAGCAGATAAACAACACATTGGCGATAACCTGCTGTTCGAACACTAAATAAAAATACATTGATCAATGGATAATGTTTTGGATTCAACAAAAGTTATTTTTCTACTTTCAATTGTCGTAAAAGTATTGCAATATTCATTTGATACTTATAATTTTGATTGAAGAAGAAGATGAAGAAGAACAGCTAATCGACAATAATTCGAAATTTTAGAAAAATATAATTAAATATATATGATCACGACTGATCACCTGATTCATGTATCATGTATTTATTTAGAACATCAAGTGAAAAATTTTTTTCAGATAAATCACATTTCGAATTATTTGTTGAATTAAAATCGAAAAAAAATTTCAGTTTTCTCTACATTTTTGAACCAACATTAATAAATCATTTAACTAATTCTAAATCGAAAATAAATTAAATGATTTGCTTCAATGCTTTTCTTATTCAATTATTTACTTGACTTCTAGCAGCTAAGAATGAACAACAAATATCTTTATCAAGTTTTTTAGCTGCGGATCAATTATCTACTAAAATAAATTCTATAGAAACAAAAAATTACCTCCTCAGACCATTCTATTGTATGTAAAAGGGTTGAATTGTTCGATTTTGAAATGTATCATTGATTGTTAATTGTTGTTTAAT